GTTTTACTAATTAGCAGGAGGAGTCATGACAGGAATCATGAGCTTTTTTATAAAATAATGTTTCTCTTCTTTACAGCATGCCAAGGTATCAGCGACAAGCTGTACATTCATTGTTCAAGCAGCAGCAAAACAATCAGGGTCATATTACTTGTTGACAATAAATACAATTGTGGGCATTTTAACAGCCAAATGATCCCCTTAAATCAAATCACTTGCAGAATGCATTCTTTTTTGTAGATTTCTGAATTGCAACCAAATCTCCTTAATTCTATTTTGGGGTGACAAAATGTTTTAATGTTATCAGTTTCAAAGATATGTAACATTCACACACACGCACGCACACACATACGTACACACACGCACACACACATGTACACACACGTACACACACACAGACATGTACACAAAAAAATCACATGACTACCAATGGATGTGGAATTTCCATGGGAAAAAAATTATAGGAAGGTAGATTGCCTCTGATACTGTATCTTTTAAAGTGGGCCTACCCACTTTTAAAATATTATGTGAGCTGGTAGAGAGGCCAAGAGAGGGCGAAGAGCTTTGTACCAGGAACTAGTACCAGCTCCAATTTCTTCAGTAATCAATACTACATTTTGCCGAGAGGATGTGATAGGGCACCTTTAATGGTGTAGACATGCTGGGGGAGGGGAACAAGAGGCAAGCAAGTAAAAAGGGAATGAAGTCACCGTCAGCAGAAATCAATTGCCAACAGTTCCTTAGGTTGGGTTGGGAGGGGTTCTAACTACCATCAAACTATATTGTATGAAAATTGTAAAAATTCAATAAAACAATAAAATTTAAATTTTACGACTGAGAAAGAAGTTAACATGGACTGTGTTTCACTGTGCTACAAAAAATTTCAGACCACATCTAGTTTAAGCTTCACTTTAAATACATGTTGAATGCAGGATTTTTTGTTTATTATTTTTTTATTATTTTATGTGTGTGAGTGTATTACCTGCATGTAAGTGCACCTGTTTCATGCCGTGCCTGAGGAGACCAGAAGAGGGCATTGGATGCCCTGGAACTGGAGTTAAGGATGGTTGTTAGCCACCATGGCCATGTAGCTGCTGGGATTTTAACCCTCTTCAAGAGCAGCCAGAGTTCCTAACCACTGAGTCATGTCTTCAACCCCAAATAGGATTATTTGTATTTGTAGGATTATTATTTCTAAAATGATACACATGCACAAGTATCAGAGATAGATCTGAACCTATCTCTGCCAACTCCACAGTCCACGCCACCCTACACCTTACAAGGGTAACAACGGACTTGATCGATGGGGTTGAAACTCAAGAGTTTATCTTCATCATTGAAATAATCTGGTTAACTTAATTGTTCATTTATTGCTTAAAGAGATTATGTATTCTGTCAGCACAAGATTCAAAAGGTACAAAGAAATATAGAGTGAAAAGTAAATCTCTCTTCCATTGCTTCCAGATACCCACTTCCCCTTTCTGACAACAATCATGATAGATCCTTCCAGAATCCTTTCTTTACTTATTTTGTACTCAAGGTCAAATGTGAGTCTTCTGCTTGCCTGGGAAACCTCAGTGGTAGAATCTGGGGTGTGATTTAAAAGGTCTTGGGAACTGGGGATAGAGCTTAGTCAGTAAAGTATGTGCTGCACAAGCCTGAGGGACCTAAGTTCAGTCCCCACTGACCACATAAAAAGCTGAGTACATTATATGCCTGTACTCTCAGTGATGAGAAGGCAGAGACAGGCAGATCCCTGGGGCTTGTTGGCCAACCAGCCTAGCCTACTTGGAGGATTCCTGGGTCCCAATGTGAAACTCTGTCTCAAAAAACAAAGCAGACAGCTCCTGAAAAAACAATGCTTAAAGTTGATGAGAGAGAGAGAGAGAGAGAGAGAGAGAGAGAGAGAGAATCCCCCAATTCTGTTGTCTTCTAGTCTTCAAGTGATCCTTCTTTTCCACTTCTTACCATGCTGCTAGCCCTGACCTGCTCCTTACTTCTTAGTGAGAACCAACAGCTTCATCTAGTTCCTGTTCTGGCATATCATCAGGACCCTACTTGCTGCACCCTGAAGTTCTATCTTGGCTGAGAAATTAGTCCCCATCATGGAATCCCTGAATGTGTGGGTTGATAACCCACCCCTTCCACAGAACATGTTTACATTTAAATAAAGGGCTTCAATCAAAAGGAAGACTTCAATAATGGAGATTTCTGGAAGAGTCTTGGTATGACAGACAAACAAAACGGATTTTTTTCCTAGCTACTTCCTTTATGGGTACAGAGAACCCAATACTTTGGTCAGCTGAAATTGTCTCTTTGACAAGGCAATAAGGACCCTGGTCTTGACTTTGTTTATTATGGGATACGCACACAACATTTTTGAAACAAAATCTCTAATACTGTAGACTCTTCTCCCTTAATACATCATCTATAGGTTCCAACCTTTTCTTTTAAAAAAGAAACAACTGTTAACAGTGAAGAAAATTATTCTGACTTTAATAGTCACTAAACATTATCTTATTCTGCCTTTCCTGAAACAATATTTAGAATACAAGGTCAAGGAAGATTTGCTTCACAAATTCAACATTTTTCCCAATCCAGGGCTGGGGGGCAGTTGAGCTTCTTTGTTGACATTTAATGAAAATGGTCTTTGTTTTTTAATGGAATTTGTTTTGATTTCTGCAGGTAATGTTCTTCTTATAAAATTAGGTATAGTTTCACAACTCACAGAAGATAAAGTATAGTGATTTTCATCAAAGGTATCTGCATGAAGAAAGAAGAACATTTAAGTTGGGGCGGTAAGAATTTTGCACAAAGTTGAAGCATAAGAAAATTTCATAGAATGATGGAATGAGTAATTAGGACGTGAATGTTGTGTTGCTTTAAAAAATGTATTTTTGCCAGGCGTGGTGGTGCATGCCTTTAGTCCCAGCGCTTGGGAGGCAAAGGCAGGCGGATCTCTGTGAGTTCAAGGCCATCCTGGTCTACATAGTGAGTTCCAGGACACCTGGGGCCACAGGGAGACCCTGTCTCAGACCAAAAAAAAAATGTACTTTTAGAGGGCTGGAGAGATGGCTCAGTGGTTAAGAACACTGTTCTTGCAGAAGACCCAGGTTTGAATCCCAGCACCCACATGGCAGCTAACAACTGTCCTGGAACTCCAGTTCCTGGGGATCCGACAGTCTCTTCTGTCCTGTGCAGGCATTGCACGACACAGGCGCACTTACCTACATGTAGGCAATACATACATATAAAATATGCATACACATAAAATAAAATACACATAAAATAATAGATATAATATACATACACATAATACACATAAAATAAAAATAATAAATTTTTTAAAAAACTATAAAAATGTACTTTTAATATAAATATGGAGTAAATTACCTCATTTTGACAGTACTCCTTAGGCATCAGCTATGTATGCTCTTCTTATATTGTGAATAAAAAATATATATATTAGGTTTAACCTCAAACCTTTGGGACAACATTCCTGGCCAAAGCTTGGAGGTTCATGGAAAAGAACACTTTTATATGCTCTATAGATTTGATAGTCTTGTTCTGGAAGTTTGGCCATTTTTGAAGCTTGAGAGAGTATGGTGGGGCAGAGGGCAGGACTTTCCACTATGGTTAGTGAAACTGAAATTCTGGCTACCCTAAGTTTGACAGTACCTAGATTTGAGTTTTAGTTTGACAGTACCTAGATTTGAGTTTTAGAACCTGTGGCTGTTTTCTTATTCTGCTGGCTGAGTTAGAGTTATAATCTATGAACATTTTGAAACAGGCCTCAGGCATCTTGGTTCTCCAGGTCTATTACTTGGTCCAACAGCATATATATATAAAATACATAAATATTAATATATAATATATATTTGCTACTGTTTCTGCTGAAAGAAGATATGCATATTTAAAATGTTTGTTTGTTCAAGAATCAATCTATTCTATGGACAGTAGGTGGACCCTTTTGCAAAAATGGTGTTTCCTTATCAGCCCCACCTATTACCCACCTACTAAGGAGATTCCACAATGCAGGTCTTCCTTATATTATGATTCTCCCAGACCTCTATAGGACCACTAAATATCCATAGTTAACTGGTCAGAATATGATGGATGCCAGTGGAAAGGGAGAGACTGATTTTTCTGTATACCACTAACTTTCCCACACAAAAATGGAGACTGAGTCTCTACAGTGTGATTCAACCATCCTTATGTAGTCATCCAGATCTGCAACACATAGGATTATGCATTCTGGGTTCATCATATTAATGACAGATAATGCAGATCCAGGCAGGGAAGTGAGATGCTCAAGACAAAGTCAGTGACAGAGCTAGAACTTGAGCCAAAGCCTTTGTAACACACCATAATATTTCTAAATTACTGGCAGTCCTAAAAAAATATAACTGTTTTTTGGATCCAGTATAATAAAAAGCATTGAAGAGGTGACAGGCTGAGCACAGTCAGGCCACCAAAACTAGTCTGTGTCTGAGAGAGAGCTGAAGTTTAGTTTGGTCTTTAAGAAAGGCAAGCAAAAACTATTGCTTCATGGTCCAAATGGAAGAACTGAATGCAGAGTCATTACAACATAAATGTAAGGTTTTGTTTTTTCAAGTTTTCAGACAGAGTCTCATAATGTAGCCCAGGCTGGCCTTGAATATGCAATCCTTCTGTCAGCCTCCTGAGGGTGGAATTATATGTGTGTGCCAGTACACCCAACTTTCAACTTAAAGTTTTTAAAAACTATTGATCCTTTCGACTTTCCATTCCTATTTTGTTTTGTTTTGTTTGTTTGTTTTGAGATGGCCCCTATTTTGGTCTTTTTGAGACAGGGTCTCCCTGGAGCCCCAGCTGATCTGGAACTTGCTTTGTAGACCAGGTCGTCCTTGAACTCACACAGATCCACCTGCCTTTGCCCAGCCCAGGGGGAGGTGTCCCATTTTTTTTATATGTTGTAGGCTATATATTTCCTTCGCTGTAGTTTCCTTCCCAATACCCTGCCCTTAGTTCAACATCAGTCTCCACCCAGAAATATAGGTTCCTGTGGAAGAATGTGAACATCTCAGAGTTATATGTAACTCAAGGAGAATTTTGGTAGGAGACACTTGTCTTGAGAGGCTGAAGACCTGAGTTCTGGCTTCAGTCTGTTGCCAATGGACTGCGTGGCTGTCCATAGGCATTTTCCTTTACCATGATTAAGGTTCCCCTCATGTAAAACAACAGAATTGGACTATGCTATATATAGGGTTCTTTCTGGTTCCATCAGTCTGTGACAATTATCCTTAAAACCCTTGAAGTTCATAAACATTCTATCTCTTTTCTTCCCTATTACTCTAATAGCCCATCAGATTTACACACACTAAATTCACTAGGTGCTTCTCTTTACATGTTCTCAGCTAAGAATGAGCCCAAATATATAGTTCTATAGATCTATAGAAAAGCATATAGATATATTGATGACTTAGAATTAGTTATAGGTATAGAATAGCTATAAAGCTTACCTGGATATGTATTATACATACATTTTTATATTATATTGTATTTTATTACATGCACTTGTTTTGAGGAAGAAGTATTCACTCAATATATAGTCTCACATTAGTAGAGTATGCCTAGAACACAAATGTAAATAACACATCCTTTTGTCTTACCATTTGGGAAAATTGTTTTTGAAGGAGTTCCAGGTGCAGATCCTAGAGATCTGAAACTGGAATTAGTTGTAGTTGATTTGAGTGACGGCATCAATAATTTGCGCCCATGGGTTTTCTTCCGACTCTCCCGTTTATACCTAACATTTATCTCAAACCTGCCGCTCCCATCTGAAATGACATCCATAGTTAAAAATGTAAAATTCACCAAATTCTATACTTAAAATGAGTGAGTTTTATGATATGTAATTTATACCACTTTCAATAGTCCCATTAAAATATGAAGCCCAGTGCACAGTGTTTGTTCATTCTGTGAGTCAGCTTTTGTACGAAGTTGTGAGAAGAAATTTGTACTGTGGTGTGTGATACAAAAAGAGCCAATGCACTTACTAAGAATGCTTGCTTTCCCTAGGTCATAAGGATCCACAGTTCACTAACACATCCATATAAAAGACAGACAACTTGGTGCTACTTATAGAGTCTTAGTGTCCAAATGCTGCCTTCCCTACAGGAAGCAGATGGGACTTGCTATGAATACTGAGACAAGCTTCCAGAATTGAATGGAAGATCATTTAATAAGTAGAACATCAGTTTGCTTGCCCTGGTAACAACCTTGAGAGAAGTGCCAGTGTTAAGAGGCAATGTTAGAGGCTACTATGTTTCCCACTTGGCAGAGAAGCACATCAGAAGGGTCACCTAGGCAGATAACTGGTGAGGTATCTTAGGAATGCTTATGTGTTCTCTCCACCACATCACTCCTTGTTTCTCACAGCCACTCAACCTACTGTTATCTACTGGCCAGAAGGCACTATAATCTAGTGGCTGAAACACATTAAATACTCAGTATTCTTCTGATTGACATGACTGAGGTGACATAGATAAGAAGTAATCCAAGAAATCTGGGCCCAAACAAAAGCTCTACTAGGTTAAAATATGGCCCAAGTCACATTGGCTCAAGTCTTCCCTTGACTTCATTCATCTTAGCACAAAAGCACAAATCATTTTCATGACATGAAACAACCTCTATTTTGATACTCTTGCTATATGAATTCATTAGGAGATAATTTATTTGGATCAGTTTTATAAATTATAAAATTCAAAACCTTACCCAAGCTGGCATCTTACCAGAAGAGTTATCCAGTTGCAACCACCTGCAGTGGAGGTGGATGTACCACTGCTCCCGTACACTCTCCTTCATCACACAGTAAAACACAAAAATGAGGAATCCTAAGCCAGGAGAAGGTCAGTCTTTTTTGAGCTTCTTTCACAAGGCAGCACTAATTCCCACCCACACTTGGGGCTATTCTTAACACCATAAATGCTGATTCCAAAGAACCCCAGGGCTATTGTCTTTCTGAACTCTTTGTGTGCCCCAAGACAGTAATAACATAAAAAGTCAGTATTAATACTTCAAGCTCACCGCTGTTTCCCTCTGAGCTGCCCTCCATCCTAAAGCATGAGACATAATGATTTTAGGGTACCCAGCATCTGAGATAGCTGTCAATGATCCTCACATCTTGACACTCACATTCTTAGCATTCAGCATCCTCTCACATTGTATCAATGAGATGTGACAGAAGTCAGTGTGCCATTTCATTAGGCCCCTACCCTATGCTCTGTTAGCAAGCCCAATATAAACTCGTTAGGATTTTTTTTTTTAAATAGAGCTAATGTAAACCTTCATTATTCTCTTCCACCAAAGTTGACCCCATGTTGGCAAATGTTTTGGTCTTTGATTTCTTAGTCCTAGCCCCCCCTTAAGCGTAATCATATATATA